ACACTGTCAAAAGCCTTTTCGATATCGAAGAAAACCGCCAACGTTGATCTTTTTTCATTCCAATTGTGTTCGACTGCGCTGAGCAGGTCTAAGATATTGTCTGCCGTTGAAAGCCGAGTTCTAAAGCCTGTCATAACATCGGGCAGTAGTAGTTTAGCTTCAAGCCACCAAGAAAGTCGAGCGTGTATCATGCGTTCCATTAGCTTTGCCACACATGAAGTAAGCGAAACGGGTCTATAAGATGAAGGTTCGGTTCTCGGCTTTCCGTGTTTGAGGATGGGCACAACCCAGGCTGAACGCCACTCACCAGGTACGTTTCCCGTCGACCAGATAACGTTAAACTCGGACAGAAGCAGTTGCAGACCTTCATCTGGCAGGTTGTAGAGCATTTGGTGGGTAATGCCGTCTGGTCCGGAGGCAGTGCGCTTTTTGGTGGAACGGAGCGACGCCTGGAGTTCATCAAGGGTGAATGGTACATCAAGAGGGGACGAAGTCGAAACTATGACGCACGGTTCTTGCGATTGGCTCCGAACCGAGACGTAATAGTTAGCGAATTCGTCCGCTATAACCTGGAGGTCTTTTCCTCGTTGGAATGCGAGAGAGGCTTGGGGCGACAGTTTGTTTCTTGCTCCCATAAAGCAATCGAGAATATGCCAAATCCGGGAAGCTGGTGTGTGGGCATCTGATTTAGCACACACATCGTGCCATTGTTGTCTGCGTAGCTTCTTCGCATAGCGCCTAGTTGCGGCGTTTAACTTGTTGAAATGCGATTTTAGTAGCGGATTTCCAGAGCGCTGCAGCTTTCGTTGGGCCTGTCTCCTGCGTGCGCAAAGATTCAGAAAAATCAGGTCCGGTTTGGGGTAATGTACTGGTAGGCGTATTCGCACTGTTGATGCTTTTGCAGCGTCTACAATAGCCGCACATACGTCTTCTTTTACCAATAAAAGGTGACTGCGGAAAGTATCCCAGATGATCATATCAAATGTGCGCTGCTTGGACGGTTGGTAGCCTTTTAAATCCAGGAAAATAGGAAAATGATCGCTTCCCATTGTGTCGGCTAATACTTGCCACGTGACTTCGAGGTCTGTACAATGGGCGGTTATATCGATGGCGCTATAGGTGCAAGGAGGGCGGTAGAATGTAGGACGGCCATCATTTGCCACGACGAGATCGTGCTTCTCTAGAGCTGTAGCCAGAGCTAGGCCCCGTGCGTCTCGTTTAGCGCAGCCCCACAGTTCGTGGTGGGCATTCCAGTCCCCACATAAAAGTAAGGAGCTTGGGCACCGTTTCTTAAGCTCCGCCACTACACGGGCAACAGGAAGGCCGCTTTTTCCCGGGCGTGCGTATACGGACCCCACACATAAAGGCTTACCAAATACGCTGACTTGCACTGCGACGATTTCTAGATGGTCACTACACAAATCAGTGACATCGATAGAGTGTTGAGGGAGAGACTTTCTGATGAATAGTGCAGCACTCCCGTTAGTAAATCCGCTCATAGTGGGGTTTGAGTACCTCACGTAGCCGGAGATGCTCTGATCATTAGGGAGGCCAGCTTCACATAATGCAAGAATAGGTATGGGTACAGTCAATAAGTAAAGCAACAGTTCTGCAAGACGGTTTTGGAGACCTGCACAGTTCCATTGCATGACTAGCGGAATGTGTCTGAGCTTTGGCGACGATCTGTGAGGTTGTACGTATCGTGCAGAGTTTTTCATCCAAGAAACGCAGCCACAAGGGGCATGGCTAGATCGATGATTTTCAATACTGACGAGGCAAGTGGGTTGTTGAGGCGAGTTGAGGCAAGTGGGTTGTTGAGGCAAGTGAAGAAAAGCCTCGGTTGAAATTTCCTTCCGAGTTCGAAAGAGGACGACGAAGTTGAGTCCTAGAAACGAAAAGAAAGAAGTGAGCAGTGAAAGGTGGGCGGTGCACCGGCAGCATGGTTGGCCAGCATGTAAGAACTGTATATAACACCGTCATAAATTGAAAAACCTGTAATTCGGCTCCACTGAAAATTGACCTATTAGTAAATTAACCGAACATCGAGAAGAATGCTGGAAGTGTAATTCTACGATCCGCGCGCGCTGGCCTTCCACTTATAAAAGATTCGAAGTAAATAATCATAATAAATCTTTGACGAATGCGCGTGCACGGCAAAATTTGTTTTAGGCTTTTTGCTTCAGAACAGTTATTACTGCAGACGCCAGCAGGTGCAGCGCGTGTAACTACACTCGTAGTATGCACCTCGGTGCTTTTGAAATTTAGCAAAAGGTCTATGGGAACGCTCTCTGCTTTTGTGTGCCATCAATACCCGGCCGATTGAGTCAAGGCAATCCACTTCCCAAAGACGTTGCCATGCCGACAACTATCGCGTTCATTAAGGCTTAGGAATGGCCAGAGTCGAAAGTCTATCTAAGAAATGCGGCGAGGTCATTGCTCATGTTTTGCGTTTTAAGTGAAGTAAGGCAACGCGAAAACCTCCTGCTCCATGCATTGCTGACTAACGCGCCCGCTACTGCAGCTACTACGACGTATTAGTTCCACAGCGAGCGGCGCTCACTCACCGGGACACCGCCATGTTTCCCCGCCGTCCTTACTCTGCCGGTCACGTGACCCGAAATTCCCCCTCGTAGGGAAATCCGGTTAACCGCGGTTAGTTAACCAGCTTCGAGCAAACGGGCCCAGAAATCTGGTTGGCCCTGGTAATCGAGAGATGGAAAAGACCACTTGGACGAATGCTCAACGGTTGGTGGCCAAAAATAACAATCGAGTATAATTGGAAGCATAACCAGAATGTAACGCCGACAGCAATGAAAAACAAGTATACCGGGTGGAAGAATTTAAAACAGCCTACTCAATCGGGCAATGGTCAAGTGGCCGAAGAAAGAGAACGGCCGTTGCCAGCGACCATAACAAACAGCCAATTGTACACTAGTGTGAGGAATCTGCTGGCCAATAACATCGAGCTGGCCCTTATTTACCAAACTGACCGAAGAAGGACAAGAAAGGTATACAGTCAGGAAGTAATCTACAAGGTCATCGAGATGCTCAATCTAGTGATCGAGCGAGAGAGCTGGAAAAGAAGGCGAATACTGTAGCAGTGCTGAATGATTTGATCTACGCTTGCCAGCTGACATATGAGGAGGTGACGGAGAAGCCAAAGAAGGAGGTGAACTGGAACGAGACCATAAAAGGAAGATCGAGAAGTTTAGTCAACAACTGCAAATCGCCACCAGTCACAAACAGTACGAGGGTCCGTCGAGAGCACTAAAACGAATTAGCAAAGCCAACCAGTCCCACCCGAACAACGAGGGCCAGTTAAAGAAGCTTGAGGATTAGATCGAACAGAAAATGGCGGTCTTTCAGAAAAAAAAACAAAAAAAAAAACTAGTCATTGCGGCGAACCGGACCGAGTATCGGAGAGCGAACAAGCTGTTCGAGTTCAATCGGTCCGCCCTCTCCCGAAGACCTGACGAAAATCAGGAGATTGACAAGAACATCGATGTTCAGGAGGTTATTACTTTCTGGCGAGGATTCTGGGCGGTCAATGACGAAGAGGGGGGCACCCAGAATTGATTGACCTATTGGACCCAGTGCAGCTGCAGACTGGTTTTGAGGAGCAAAGAGTCAAGAGGGTCATCGAGGAAAAGATCAAGTTTCTGCCCAACTGGAAGGCACCAGGGCCCGGCGGCCGTATTCAGCTTTTTCATTAAAAAGCTGACTGCACTCCACTTTCGTCTCACCTTCTAGTAAAAGCAGTTGATTACTTCCAACAGATTGACGAGTGAATGTACGTAGGCACGACCTACCTTATCGCAAAGACAAAACAAGCAAGCCAAGGCAAAGAGCTACGTCCCATTACTCGTCTCTCGAACATCTACAAGCTGCTGAGAAAGATTGTCACAACTCTGGTGCATATGGCATATGCACCAGAGCATATGGCATATGACAGCGTCCAACACGACTACGTGGTAGCCTTACTGACGAAGTTGGGCATGCCGGAGAACATCATTAAGTTCGTCAAGCGGTCGCTGACCTTCCAACGCACCAGCCTTGATGTCTCGTCAGAGCGAGATTGGCCAGGTGAAGATCAACAAAGGACTCCTCCAGGGCGATAGACTCTCGCCATTGCTGTTCGTCCTCGCGTTGGAACCCTTGAGCTGCCGACTTAACCAGGACTGCGAACAATTACAGATGGGCAACATCGAACGACCATTTGATTTTCATCGATGACATCAAATTACTGGCTGACACGGAAGAGACACTGACCAGGCTGTGTGGCCTAACCGAAAAAAACGCTCTGTCAAATGGAACTAAGGATGAATCAGCAGAACTTGGCGAGTAAGGTCGGGAACGATGGAGTCTTCGGAGATATGGCGGACGATCACAGAGGTGGCAAGTATCTGGGCATCCTGGAAGACTCTCTAAATGTGGTGAAAGATGATAACAAGGCCATCGTTACTAACAAGGCAACCGAAAGAACGGGAATTCTGTGCAAGACAAAGCTAAACGCTGCCAACCTATTTAGAGGAATCAACGAACTTGCCCTCTCGACACTCAATTACTATATCGGTATCCTGCCCTTCAAGCCGAAAGAATACGAAACGACTGACAAGGAGGTGAGGAAGATCCTGAGAGAGTGCAACGTGACGAGGAATGCGGCGAATATGGACCGGCTATACCTGAAGCGCGACCAACTGGGAAGAGGACTCGCTTTCGTGGAGGAGAAAGCTGAGCTGATGCTAAAATCTCTCGAAAGGAACCCAATAAACAGACCGCTGATGGAGCAAGAAAAAGAAAAAAAAACCCAGCTCGGGCGAATATGTCAATACTTGAAGGAAAAGTACCAACCTGAAGAGACCAACCTGACTGAGAAAAACACCAGAAAAAAAAAACAGGAACAGAGCCGAATGGGGCGAATAAAGGAAAACGTGATGCACGGCACTCTTTCCAATAATGGAGACCAAAGAATGTCATGAATGTGGCTGACGAAGGGCAACATGTTGCCACATCAGGAGGGGATGCTCAACAAATTACAAGATCGTAACCCGTACTTTGGAGGAATGTCGAAAAGATGTCCCCACTTCTTCAAGGGCTCAAGGACGGTGGAAAACCTGGCGACACATTGTGGCGGAATGCTGGACCTGTGCTACAAGAAACGCCATGATAAAGTCGTCAGATGTCTTCACTTTCTTTACACCAAGTATGGATTGAACCGAAGGAGTAAGCTGAAGAATTACAAAGTAATATCGAATGATAGGGTAAATATCAAATCAGACGTAAAAATCGAGACGGAACTGTTCCTTGAATACAACAAGCCCGACCTGATGATCCATGACCGGAGAACAAAGGAAATCACACTTATTGAGGTTGGCATTACCAACACGAAAATCTTGGCTAGGACTGAGTTGCGAAAATCACAAAATTACGACCTACTAAAAAATGAGTTTATGGTACCCGGGTGCAAAGTTATTACACTACCTGTGGTGATGTCCTGGGATGGACTAGTGACAAAACATTTCAAGAGTTATAGGAAACAGCTTGAAGTAACCGACAGGCTGATGGCATTAATGTAGTTGGTAGTCTTAAAGCGAACCTGCGAGGCTATCGTAGAAGACTGCCGAAGAATACAAAAAGAAGACTGGCTGGAGGATGAGATGGAAGAAATGGTGGCTCAGCTTGAGACGCAGCCCGCTGGGCCAGAACAAGGGGCTCAGTTAATGCCTTCATGAGCTTCATCTGCAAGAAATTACTTGGGTGCGTTAAAACATATTTTATAATTTTATTATTTCACAGCGGAGATGTCAAGGGCTAGGTTCCCAAGGATCGTGTCCGGTATCAAACGCGTGTCGACACAAACCTACCTGGACAGCTACCGCCATCTATAAGCGACAACGGCAAGCACACAACCAGTCTGGTTGCCCCCGTTGCTCGTAGATGGCAGCAACCTTTCCAGCTATCTAGAGTTCCTGTATAGGCTCCCTACGGGAGCCAGAGTTGTGCGTCTGTTTTCCACGTGCCGCCGCGCCGCTATTCGCCAAGATCCGATCACGTGAGGAGCCGGATTTAGTACCGTGCAGGAAAGTAGACGTTGCACACGCCCCGCCGTATGTTCCCCTGCTTTTGAGCGCGCCGCGTGCCTCGAACGCGCGGCGCCGCTATTCGCCGAGTTCAGTCACGTGACGAGCGGGATCAACATGCCGTGCAGGAAAGACGGCGCTACGGAGATGAACGCGCAGCTCTGGCTCCCGTGGGGAGCCTATACAGGAACTTTACAGCTATCATAGAAGCATGGATAGTTGGGCGCGTTGGTGGGAATTCGTCGTAAGAAACAGTGCGAAAAACAGACGACAACATAGGAGAAACGCACGTGAGGAGCGCACCGCACGTCACGTGTTTTTCTTCGTCCTCGTCTGTCTTGCGCGCTGTTTCCTACTCTTATCAGTCTCGGTTTGGACTCAGGGTGGGTCACCGCGTGCCCCACCCTGAGACGAGAAAGAAGACTGGCTGTGGAAGGAGCGGCGACGTACGCAGCAGGGCGAGTGGGTCCGCAACCGCCGCAAAACCGCTGCCGCCTCGACTTCCACTGCGTCCAGCGCTTCAGATTTCCTTGCCAAAGAAGAGCACATCGCTCGCCTGGAAAGCCGCCGCCGAAAGCAGAACCAGCGATGTAACCGGTGCCGGCGGGCCAACGCCACGGACGATGATCGTGCCACTTGCGCTTGGCGCGAGGCCCGGTGACAACTGCACTCCACGCCGGCTGACCTGTTCCCGGGTGCGACGGCGCGGTTCCGGAGGGAGTTCGTGGAGAACTCGTTTGGCGTCACGTGCGCCGTGTGCGACCGACTCTGGTTCGCCGGAGACGTATCCACGATCGGCGGCGTGTCGGACGAGAATACGCGGGAACCGGCGCGTGCGCGTTGCGGCAGTGTATCGAGTACAGCTCCGCTGGTCTTCCTTCTTCAGTAGAAAGGCTGAAAGTTTTTTAGAGCGCAGCTCTTAGGGGCCCGTTTCCGGCTTGAGCGGCGTCGCCGTCGGCGTCGCCGTCGCCGTCGGCGTAACCGTGCGGTGCATCATGGGAAATGTCCCATAATGCACCGCGCGAGCCCCCCAGCGGGGTCACGTGACCCCCTCCTCGAGGTCACGTGACCCCCGCCGATGTCGCGTGACCCCCCGATGACGTCATCGTCACTGATGACGTCACCGGCATCCACATCGTCATCGTCATCATCACTGATGACGTCACCAGCATCCACATCGTCATCGTCATCATCACTGATGACGTCACCGGCATCCACATCGTCATCATCACTGATGACGTCACCAGCATCCACATCGTCATCGTCATCAACACTGATGACGTCACCGGCATCCGCATCGTCATCGTCATCATCATTGATGACGTCACCGACATCCCCATGGTCATCGTCATCATCACTGATGACGTCATCAGTGACGTCACTGATGTCGTCACCGGCATCCGCATCGTCATCGTCATCATCACTGATGACGTCATCAGCGACGTCACTGATGACGTCACCGACATTCGCATCGTCATCGTCATCATCACTGTTGAAGTCATCAGTGACGCCACTAATGACGTCATCGGTACCCGCATCGTCATCGTCACTTATGACGTCATCACTGACGTCACTGGGGGTCACCTGACCCCCAAGGTCACGTGACCCCCCAAGGTCACGCGACCCCCCCAAGGTCACGCGACCCCCCCTGGTTAGTTTAACCCCCCCCCAGTGCCCTTCCCTCCTCCTCCTCAAGAGCTGCGCTCTAATTCGGCGTTACAGGGAGTTGTAAGCGGCTTTCACTTTTTATTCGTTTTTATATAATATTAGTTTCTAGGCGTCGCAGAAGCGTTCGACACCGCCAACCACGATATCTTGCTACGAAAATCTGGTTTCGTGAGCCTTTTTATATAATATTAGTTTCTAGGCGTCGCAGAAGCGTTCGACACCGCCAACCACGATATCTTGCTACGAAAATCTGGTTTCGTGAGCCTTTTCTTGCACTTCTGTCAGACTTTTTGTCAAATCGATCGCAACAAGTTTGAGTGGGCCGTGAAACAAGCTCCCTTTATTATCTACAAACGGGGGTTCCCCAAGGCTCTCTGTTATCGCCGCTGGTGTTCCATATTTATGTCAGCGATCTTATCTCTGTCATTTCGGGTTGTAAATGTTATCAATATGCCGACGACACTTTTCTGATTTCCAGACATGTGAATTTCGACAGTGCCTGTAATAGTTTGCAAACTAATGGCAGTATAGTAGTGGACTGGTACGCCTCCAATCTTTTAAAAGTCAATCCAGTGAAAACTAGGTTGATCGGTTTCTTTAATCCGCTAAAACATGGTTTCATAGATGAGCCTTTTTATTTACGCGGGGTCGATAGCGTGTCTGGTAGTAGTGTTCCTGTTCAATGGGTAGGCAGCATGAAGTACATGGGTCTTGTTTTTGAATGCGACATGTCCTGGAACAAGCAGTTAGCCTACATATGTCATGTGTAACGAAATGTAGCTTGTCTGTTAAAGATGGTTAAAATCGCGCACAAAGAGACGAGGACAAACGAGGAAGGAACACAGAACACAGACAGGCGCGCACTTACAACTCAAGTATATTAAGTGAAGAAGAGAAAGATGAAGCACTATTTTTTACAGGGGATAACGTCACCAGGAGGAGACAGATCATCCGCAGTCAAATGATCGCAAGAAGGCAACTTCTTTTTCGCTCAAAGCTACCAACGGCTGACTAACGCAGCGATCGGTCAAGCTCAAGATGGTGAACGCCTCGAGCACCTCGCGCGTTTGTTTTTCTTTAAAGCGGCCAATGATTGATGTTTTTTTCTAAAGATGGTGTGCACATACAGGTTTTACAGTGCACCGAAAGGTGACCTCCTACATTGGATGTTAAAGAAAGTTTATGCTCTCGTAGCCGGTCATTCAGACACCGTCCCGTCTGTCCAACATAGCATCTTCCACATGAAAGAGGAATGCTATATTCCTCTTTCGCACAAATTTGTTCTAAGGTTCGTGAAAAGACAGAAAAATTATCAAAAAACACGTGCCACAAAAAACATGTGCGGCCATTTGTTCCCTGTTCATCGGGCGTTGTGCCCGATGAACAGGGAACAAATGGCCGCACATGCTTTTTGTGGCACGTGTTTTTTGATAATTTTTCTGTCTTTTCACGAACCTTCGAACAAATTTGTCGCATTTTCTTAGGGGCTGATAGTACTACGGGCATACCATACCTGCTGGCCACTTGTTTTAGGTTATGCGATATTTTGTGTAGGTATGGCATAACCACCACCCAATTTTTTTCTACGGGGCGCTTAGTTTTTTCACCCCCTTTTACATTCTTTACCAGCGTTCCTATCACTTCGATTAAGACCTGAATCGGGAACCCTGAAGATTTTAGTCTATCGATCTGGCCCAAGATACTTCTATGAATGGCATGGAAACATGACTTTTTTAGGGCTGAGGTGAGGCAAGAGATAGCAATGCCTCTCTTCACAACCTTGGAGTGGGAGGATGTGTATTGAACAATACCTTTTTTGGAACGTGGTGAGAATGCCCAGCACAAGTGATCGGCGTGCAATGAGAGGAAAAGGTCTAAAAATTGCAACGCCCCTTCGTTAGGCTTGTCAAAAGTAAAGGTGAGCCCAAAACCGCACGTATGAAAAATGTCCATAATCGTAGTAACTAAATCGTGATCCGCAGTCTTTTTTACAGTAAAAGAAAATCATCTACGTATCTGAACACATTGGTGACAGGCGTCACGGTCGATTCTCGCAAAGAAAATATCACTTAAGGCTGGCGCGACACAAGACCCAATACACCCCCCCCCCCCCCCCCGATTTTTGTAAAAATACCCCGTTTTGCCATCCGACGAATGTGGAATTTAAATAAAACTGCAGTAGTTCAAGAAAACTGTCTGTAGTCGCTCCACTTGAGTTCCGGAAAGCGATTTCGTCCTGGGATTCAATGCAGGCCCTAACTGAGCTAAGTAAAGGGTCATGAGGAAGGGAATAGAAAAGGTCTTGTACATCTATGCTAAATGCACTGTGATTGGAAAATGCATTTGTCTTTAAGGTTTGAACAACAGTTTCAGATTTCTTAACCAAGAAGGGATCCTCAATCCGCAAAGCGGAGAGATGTTTTTGGAGAAAGGCCGACATTTGCCGTTGCCACGTACCCCTCTCAGTGCGAAAAGGACAGGCTTCCTTGTGCGTCTTTGCACTAAAAAAGACCTCCAGGTGCAGTCCTTCGGCTTTTTTTATGTTGGCAGCCAACTGGGTCAACGACAAACTCTTGCAAAGTTCTAAAGCTTGTTTCCTAACCTTCTTCGTGTCTACTACAAGCGGTCGGAAGTTCTTTTGCACGGCTGTACAGGCTTTTTCATTGTAGATGCCTACAGGCATTAAATTACAAAAAAGCCTTCTTTATCGGATTCCAAAACACGTTGTGGATTGTCCACCAAAAAATTAACCAGCGGTCTAGGATCCGAGGACTGGACCCGTCTCGAGGTGGTAAGAGTGTCAACATATTCGGAGACACAACGTGGTC